GACACCATGCAGCTTATCCGTATTTTGAAAGTCGGCTGCGATGACCTGGAGAAGCAGGACTCAGCCGATAGTCTCTGAACAAGTATGGAGGGAGAAGTTTACAAACCGGGATAACATTGGCAGTAATAGTATTATCTATCGCATAGAGAAATATGCAAGAAAGAGTGCTGGTGACGACTAAAAACCACTAAAGGCGGTGTTAGCTAGTGGGTTCATAGATTCTACCTGAGCTATATGTATTTCTCACAGAAATTCCTCTTTTTTTGCGAGTCTCAGGAAGTGGGGAAGTGGATGGAGAATTAGCCCTCGACATCAATTATGGGCGCGAGCTTCTCCTCGAGCCCATTCTGTACAAGGTCGGATTCCGACTGTGGGGGAGCCATCATTATTATTATTGGGATAGAAGATTAACCATAGAACAAGAGGAAGAATCGAGAGAAGTGAAAGTCACAAATTTTCCAAAGCATTTTAAGAAAGACCAAGAGAGAGCTCGAAATCACCTTTTTCAATAAAAACGTAAGCTCAGCTTAGTTTGTGAAGGGCACAGAGTAAAAGGCTGAAATGGATTTCTAATCAGCTACCCGTATGAAGATAAACTAGTGCTCGGATTCAGGGATCGACCGAAGGTTACACCACTTGCCATGTCAAATGCGATGAGCATGAAGTATATTTGGCACGAAACATCAGCCAGAATTGCAAATCTCTCTTATCCAATAAAATGAAGCTGAGAACGTTAGTTTTTTAAGATCGTAGATGTATTATATTGTTGGGGGATTGGGTTGGGTGATTCGTACCCTCTATACCACCACGGCGCTGGTGGTGATAGAGCTCTTTTGCCCTAGTGGCGTAATAGGTTATGAGCCCGGGTAAGCGCGACTGCTAAAGGGTGTGCCAACATGCTACATATCACAGGTTCGAATCAGACCAAGGCCAGAAGAATATCCCTTACTAATGCACCTTCTCTTACCAAGGTGGAGGAGATTGGTGGTTAGGCACCTAACCACCCAGGAAGACCCCAGGCCACCAAGGACCAATGGCAGTAGGGTAGTGGAACTTAGGAAGAGCCAGGTTCCCGTGGGTCCGAGGGGGGTCGTCACACAAATTAAATGCGGGTTTGGTCAAGGATCTCGGAGGATGATGACTGGACGCCAAGGGGTTAGAGCGAGGGGAGGAAGCCTTGGCCCAAGAATGTATCCCGTTATCAGCGGCTGAAATAACAATGTAATACGGAGATAATACTCATACCAAAAATACCAGTGGCTCTCCGCAGCTATGTCTCAGAACGCCGGCGATCTCAGATGGTAAGGTATCAACTCTGCAGAATAAAAGCCTGTTTCCCACGAGCTGTATAATGTACGTTAGCTCCATGCTTACACGGGAGGGTCCCGGGTAATTAATTAGTCACATTAGAGCCGGGAGGGAATGGCGGAGATCAAATCCATGTTCAGGTATTTTGCAGTTTATAGTTTACTCCAATAGATAGGTAATTTCAGAGTGGTGTAGTTAAAGAGCCAAAATTGTGGTAATTATCCATTCCATACTGGGGCACTACGATGGGCCTTTTGTATAAAAAGGGTACTGGGTTCGCAAGTTGGCCTGTCGTTGGTTATTCCCATACTTTCCAAAGCCGTCTCACCATATCGAATTTGCATGCCAGTCTCCTAAGCCTGAAAACACCAGTTCAGAAGAACCAATGTTGACCAGCATCTTACCCTTCACTGTAAGGTTTTCACAATCGTTCACTTTACAACGATCAGCTAACTTTCAGTATAGCCTGAGGTCGCTGAGGAGGTGAGCGAGTATTGCGTCAAGCACACAAATGGCGTTCCCAAGATGATGGAGGAGGTATGGGACCACACTGCGAAATCATTCAAAGACGCAGATAAGATGTCCTCCCCCATACAGGTAAGCTAAGTTTGAAATAACAAACAAGCTGAGAGTGCAAGGAGAAGTAACAAATGCAAAAATTGTGGCCGACCGAATTCATAGGGGCTCCTGGATGATATTCTTTAGCTCAAGATCCGTAAACCACAGAGAGGTCAAGAACCCAAACATTCCGCTCACCGTACGCCGGGGCCTAATCTCGATATACAGTTCTTGAGATTGGGACGTATTCCGGATACAGCGCTTTGGCCTGGTACGAAGGCACAAAAGCCATCCAGGCAGAAATCATCACTTTGGAGCTCAGCCCAGAGATGATTGCGGCTGCACGAAGTGTTTTTGATAAACACAATGTCAACGACAGAGTGACCTTAATTGAAGGTCCAGCAGCAGAATCGTAAGTTTTCCCCACTCGTCTCGTTTACACTGTATTCAACAATGAAAGGCTATTGAGATATCGCGACCAACCTGCTGACACGCTACAATGGCACAAGGCTCAAAACCTTGGAAGGGACTTTTGATCTCATTTTCGTGGATGCCAACAAGGACGGTTACGAAAGCTATGTCAACACCATTCTCGACCGAAACCTCCTTTCACAGAACGGATTGATTATGTGTGACAATGGTTTGTGTCCAAGTTCAATATAAAAGGTTTTCGCACGGTTGCTAATATTGCCGTCAGTGTTCGCTCGAGGAATGACGATCTCGACAGCGTCCAATCCGACCCTTCCTGATAGCGTCCGCCCATACTGGACGGAATGTGGTAGGGCATTAAGGCACTTCAACAATGCCGTCATCGAAGATCCAAGGGTAGATGTGGTGATGCTGCCGGTATTTGATGGCGTGAGTTTTATTAAGCTGAAAGACCAAAAGGCGGAGAGCGTAACAAATGGGTTCGACCACTAGTAATATGACTGCTAGTTGGTGTCTGCGGCAGACTTGTTGATATTATCAAATTCGGGTCTTATATTTGTCTGTCGTTAGTTTGCGATAAAACAAGAAGCAAAATATTTATTAGAGCTTATCTCAGTAAAACTCAGCCACTCCACTTCAAGCTAACCCAATCCAAACTACTATCAAGTCCTACTAACATCTGAGTCAAATCAGTTGTCAAGAAGCTTACACTAAATCTAAATGAGACATTCTCAGCAAACTCTTCAGAGAGTGTCTGAGAAAAACAGTTTCAGTTTGTTAGCAATATGAGAACCATTTGCTTCA